AATTAATATTGACTATTAGATGTCAAATTAGATGGCTGCATTTATTCCATTGATCAAGCTCAAATTTCATAAATTTTTTCGAAATTTTGTGACACACCAAAACTATCATATTTGACATCGAATAGTTGTAAGTAATTGTGACCATCTTGTATCAAAAATAAATGAACTTATTGTATATAATCTCTTAAATATATTTCATACATTTTGGGACCCAAAAAATATTACCCGGATTTGGACCCTGACCTAACTGGACTCAACCAACTCAAATGACTTGAATAGTATTCGGATCAAAAAATTGGACCTGGACATGGTATTCTGGGTCCAATTTTTTGACCCATAATTGGACTCGGATCGGTCTCCCCCTTGGGTCCGGGTCCATTACCACGCCTATGAGAGAGAGAGAGAGTTTGTGAGAGGAAACAAAAGGAATTTATCAAACCATCAAAACGATATGCACCATCTAATAAGCTTTGACCTCTTTTTTCTTTGATTTAAAAAAGCCTAAAAATAATGACCGTAAGGGTTCAATAATGAGTTAAATGTTGGAGGGACAACTTAATTTTTGGCCTCAATCAAAAGTATTTTTCAAGAAAATCATTTATGAGTACCATCTCGAATATGGTGTTTTCAAATAAGGGTATTCCATTAAGTCACCTTGAGAGATATTGATATTTTTTAATACGACGGATGCCAAGTTTTTATGATATATTCATATTATTAAGGGTTTTTGTTAGGCTACACCTAGCGTATACCTTAAAATCCTCAATATTTTTAGACGCTTAGATACCATTATCCTATAATGTAGGTATTTTTTATCGAAAGGTATTTTAAGTAATTAATCAAGAGTAAAATAAAAATTCAGAATATGAATAAAATCATTTATTAATAATAGTGGATAATGACATCACAGACATGCTGTGTAATATCAACTTCAAGTTGTATTAATTGTTTTTTTAACTATTAATAGAATGCCACTGTTTTTTTATATAAATATAAATTATACCATTCTCAATAACAAATATGCCCCTGTTTGAAAATTTTCGTATTACAATTCAATGATATATCTAAGTGTCAAAAAATATTGAGGACTTTAAAGGTGTACACCACCAAGTGGTGGAGCCTAACAACATCCATTATTAAGTATCAATATTGTCAGGTTATCGGGAACCCTAGCTTGCGGAAATAATAATCCCAAATGAATCCCACCCATTATTGTGTGATTGGCTAAATGCAAAGTAGATGAATATAACTTAAAATCGAATACAATAAATAAAGCAAATATAAAAATCACACCACAACAACATACTATTTATGTGGTTCACCCCATAGGACTACATCAACGACCTTAGCAATATAAATCCACTATCTCAGTGAAAATTACAGTTTTTGGTTACAAAAGATTATACTTATCTCTAAACATCGATAAAAGACCCCCACCGATCTTTCCTTATAAACTCGCTCCCACGGCAGAGCAATGCTGTCTATCAATACCTTATTTCCCATAACAATACCGCCACTAGAAAGATAACCTCAAGAACAACCGATAGATTTCATTTCTTTATAAGTAAAAACCTTATCAACTCAAAACTCATGGGAATACCACATCTTTCTCATATGCAATGGTGTTTTCTATTAGAGACCAATATTCATATTTGGAAATCCATTCCCATCACCCCCAAATAAGTGACCTTCAAAATGATGGGTATTATGCATTTTTTGAGTATCTTATATTAATATCACTTTACTGCTTCCAAATAAAATCCATTTTCTTTTTACCATAATGTCTTTAATCTTTAGAAGAAAATATGAACATGATGATTGGGCTATTACCAAACCCAACAAATATGCTGATATTTTTTAAGACTCATGTCACACTAAATATGCTACCAATTTGTCATAAAACGGTTAAAGGATTGTCTACAGGTAAACCATTCATATTTGGTACACATAAATCATAATCATTATTATTTTTTTAAATTTCAAGAATGGTTGCCATCTCTATGTACAAAAGATAGACAATCCTATTAGGTAATATTAGATGCTGATATTTGAAAAATATAAATGGGAAGCTTTTTCAAAATGCTCAGGTTTTCGTGAGCCCACGGCTATAAACATCGCACCTCAAAACCTTAGCAGGAACTCATCCGGCACACCAAAACAACGTAATAGAGTGTAATTTTCTGTTATTGAGTATGGAATTTTGACCTCCCAGCTTTAGTAATGCCAGGATATAGCGGATCAATGAACTTCAGCATGGATCAGGACACGATGCCTGGATGCTAGAAGTAGGATAAATAAAATGCAGAGAATGTTAAATAATGGGTTTGTCGTGTTTGGTTTTGATAAATTTCTCAATAAATGAGAAGGGCCAAACCGGAGAGAGAAGTGAGAGGCCAAGAAAACAGAAAGAGAGAGAAGAGGGGCCCTTGCACGGCGTGACAAAGGGGCTGACAGTCACATCTGGAAAGTGAAATTCGAAAGAGAGTTGGTAGAGGCGCCACATGCCATAAGGTTCTGCCTCCAATCAAAAAGTCATATGAAAACCACAAAAATCCACCTTACCATTACACGCTCTCATGTCATTGCTATCGATATGCAAAAAAAAAAAAAAAAAATATAAAAGAAAAAATAATGTTTGTTGATTATCTACTGATCTCTATAATATCGAATGGTTACGTTAGAGGAGTAGACAGAGAGGGAGTTTTGACTCTTGGATTATAGATTGATGTAATGAATTTTTTACTATTTATAAAAAAAAAAAAAAATTTAAAAAATTTTAAAAATCGATGATCAAAATTGAAACTGGCCTATCCGTATAAAAAATCAAACGGAATGATTTGGATTCCATAAAGTGTTGAGAATCGGTCTATTTCCCTATAAATTGATCGATTCCAGCCAGTTCGTACCGTATCCGGCCTTGTCCACTCAGTCGTTCATTGAGTACAGATGGCTCTCTTTACACCAATGGGGGAAGAAAGAGACAACACTTCCACAAAAGGGTAAGTACACAAAAGTTCAATGGACCATGGTGTATGGTATTTTAATGTACAGTGAAGGTTGGTCCGAGATTAATTGAACTGTGTGCCACATTGTCCTTTACCACTGGCACAATTAATTAATCCCAACCTTTACTCAGGGGAAACATATGGTGGATATAAGTTGGAGTTGGCAATACAACCACGGCCTTTTTTGCTACAGTATACTTTTTGCCCTTAAGATAATAGTAAATTCTGACACGGCAGGAGTATAAATGCTGAAATCAAATACGACCCTTTCCCCCCCATATTCCTATCTTGACTTAATTTTATTTTACTTAATAATCACGTACTTTGTCTATCTATCTATAGTGACATCACCTTCTAAAATATTATATTTTGAATGTGAAACACAGCCGACATTATCCCCAAAACCAGCCAAATTATCAAACTGTATGTTATCTACCTATTTCCAAACGAATTAAAATCTCACAAGCGATTGAAAAAGAAATCATAATTCTGAATAATTGGTCTTGGTCCCCTACCCAGAAAAAAAAGAAAGAAAGAAAGACAAAACCCTAAGAGAAATGGACAACAAAACTAAAATTTTAGGGGGGCCAATTGCACGCACCCAAGATTTTAGTAATTACACACCCACTACATCCGGCATATAATTAGGGATTTGGAACGGTTGGCAAGAAGACAGTCCCGGCCCAATTTGCCTGGCCCAATTTGCCTGGCCTTCAAAGAGTGGGCCAGGCCTACACGAGGGCCTTTTCTGTCCCGTTTAGGCCTAGCTCATGCCGGCCCTATTAGGATCGGGGCTGGTTGTGTTCAGCCTGTTGCTAACAGGATATTTAGATGTTAATTTGTACGGACTGAGTGAGATTAATGATAAAAGAGACAGTTAAACTAAAACAAATTGGTAAATAGCAAACTTTAAAAGAAGTGGGTGGTATTTTCATCATTTCACATGAAAATCGTTACTAAGCTAACTTTAAGGAAAATTGTTTCATGCGGGTTGGACGGCATTTCTACAATATGCTGTCCAAAGGTATAAAACATCCATCTTAAAGATAGATACAAATAGGTGGTCCATCTAAAAATAAGTGTAACAAACAGTCCAAATGTTTTCTTAATATAATTATTATTTATAGTTTTCATTTTTTTTTTCACATCTATGATCTCCATATTGAAGATTATATATTCTCTAAAATTTAAGATCAAATTATATTTTATAAATATATTTATTCTACATTTTAAAAATATGCAGGCTGGCGTCCTATCCTTAATTGAGCTAGGGGTCCAAATGCTTTTCATCGCGAGTGGAAATAGTAATGCATCTGTATTTTTAAAATGACCCATTGTACTCAAATCTCAACCACTTTTAGTAGAAGGGAAAAGTTTATGTAAGGTGGGAACCTTGAAATGTAGAATCACAGATGCACCTCAAAAATCTATGGGAAATGATGTTTTAATGTTGAAAAAACCTTATAATCGATAATCTCGACGTTGAGATATATGAATATGAAAAAAAAACGTTTTTGAGTCTCGAAAATAATGTATCTTGCAACACATTATTTAGACCGTCTATTTTCAAGATTTTCATACATTTATAGATCTACTTGATTTTAACCATTTTTAAAATTTTAAATTTTTTAATTAGGTATGAAAATAGATTTTAAAATAATACTAAATTTTTTTTATAACAAAATGATAAAATTTTAATGTGGGCCTTAATTGGATTGCTTAAGGTTGCAACCTTATAGAAACCGCATCCTATGTAGAATGCTAAATATATGGGTGGAAAATCTGTATCGCCGCCCGTATTTCTTCTTTTATTTGAAAATGCTAAGCCGCTATGTATTTTCCCGCTCAATCTTTCGTTAACTTCAATGAAAGGAGGCGTAGATTCCTTGTTTAAAACTTAAACTTCCCTAAAACGCTCCTCGGTTTGGTATGTTGTCCACGTCATCATCTGGAATGGCCACATCATCAAGAGAGTTAGAGAGAGAGAAGAAGAGGTAGAGAGAGGGGGAGGCGGAGGGGAGGAAGGAGAGATAGAGAGAAGACTGTAATGTTTCAGTCCCCTATATATTCTCCTAAACACACGTTTGTCTGAGACTCCATTCGTCTCTTTTCTGCAACTACTTTGTCTTCTCTGCTTTTGCCCCTCTTTATCTTTTACTCCAATTCTTACATTGCAAGCATGGATCCTTGGCCTCTAGCCATCATTCTTTAGCTCTGGACTATTGTTGTGGCTTCCACATTGTTCGCTTTGTTCCTCCATCTCTTTCTTTCTCCTCCCTCCATCCCTTTCTTTCTCTCTGTGGAGCTTTCCCTTTCATGTACAGGGTGTGATTTTAGGGCATCAATGGCGGCTTCTTCCTCTCGTGGGCGGAGCAGCTCGCCTTACAATTACAGGAAGCCCTCGTTTTCTCAATCTTACTCTTCTTCTTCCTCGTCTTCCTCTCTCTTCAACGGAAGACACGTTCCTCGCTCTTATTCTTCCTCAGCTTCTTCACACATTTACAATGGCAGTGTTCCTAGATCCATGACCCCTAGTAAGGCTCGATTTGATGTACCTGGTACAATGAGCTTGCAGTTTCATCAAAGGAGCAACTATTCACCCGATCTCGCTGCTTCTGATCCTTTGATTGGAGATTCATTGGAGTCTCAGGGACCTGGAGAGAGCATCTCAGTCACAGTTCGATTCAGGCCTCTAAAGTATGCGTCCATCTGGTTTCATTTTGATAGATCTTTGTTCTGTTGATTTCCATGTCATTTTTGTTCAATTTATTCATGAGAATTGAGCTTGAATTGGAGATTGACATTTTGCAAAATGTTGTCCACAATTTGTTCTTTTGGATACAGTGAGCGAGAGTATCAGCATGGGGATGAGATTGCTTGGTACGCAGATGGTGATAAATTAGTGAGGAATGAGTATAATCCAGCGACTGTATATGCATTTGGTACTACTCTTCAATTCATGAGTTTTTATTTTATTGCAAAGGGGAAACCGTAACACATTGTCTATTTGTTTTTCACGCGTTGTTGATTTAGTGGGTGAATATTGAAATCTGGTCATCTGCAGTGTTTATTATTTCGATGAATAAGATCTGACCCTTTTGAACTCAAGTAACTTATAACTGGTGTGAGTGCTGATTCATTTGAAATTAACCTATAATTGACAGTAATCTTGTATAGACTAACATCAGTAAGGAATATTTTGCCATAAGGCACAAATTGTTTTCTTTTAAAATGATGCTTTACCCTTGGAATTTATGTAATTTGTAGCATTTTGATATTTGGTTTATTTCACTTGAATGCCAAGATTTTTATATAATCCGAGCAACTGGGTCATTAGGAATTTATTTCTTAGATTTATTATATTCAATCTGTCATATTATATTCATTCTGTCACAGTTTCAAAATCCATTATTGAGGAAGCATGCCATGCTGTAGACTGCTACACGCGACCACAGAATGCTTAATTTTCATTATTTTTTGACCATAAATTTCTATTCATTCTTTTTATTTGAAGGCTATGCTTGTTTTCTCATATTAGATAGTGGCATTGCCATCCATGAACATAAGTGACCAAAAGCCACGAGGTGGTATTGTAAACCTTCATGGCAAAAATGTGTTTTAAATTCTTGAATTAAAATTTAACTCTACTGGTTTTATGTTGAAAAATACTGCTCATCAGCAAGACCTTTGAGCTTCTACACCATCTATGGAGAAATAGTGCTGTGCATAAGGTTAAGAAGTTGTTAAAGCATTGTTATCCTTGACCCATGAGCCTGACAAATGTTGACTTGTTTCTTATGAGCTGGAAATATGATTCAGATGACAATCCTTTACAATACTTAGGGATCTAATCAAACTTTAGAGAATAGGAATTGATTCGGAATTTGGATTGTTCTCATCTCTTTTAAACTTACCTTTAACGAATTTTTTCACAAAATTTACAATCAGCACATAATTTGCCTTTAATCGGACATTCTGATCCGTGATTTCTTCTATGAGAAGTCTTTAATTGGTGATAACTGATGTGGACAAGCTAGAAATAACCATGGGTATTGTCTTGCTTGATAAACTGCAAATGTTGTATCAAATATCCAGTAGACGCAATTTTCATGAGTTCAGTAGAAAGGAATATGCAAGCTTGAAATTTTATCAAATGATTATTATTGTGGTTGGAGCAATGCTGCATATATACTTTGACGTTGATGACATCTCTGTATTTGAGGCTTTGGAAATATCTGTAAACTCACCATCAACAAAATGTTACATCTTTTCCGTAGCCACCTTGGATTATAAAACCATACACTAAAAAGGTCACATCCTGAATATCATACAAATGCATCGAGTTAGGGCCAGTACGCTAGTGGCTGCAAAATATGTTTCCACTATGTTCGAGTCATACAATGGCATGTGGTGAACCATTGATCGTGTTGTTTCAATCTGTCATCTTTAGAAGCCTCACATCATCGACAAACTCTCTGTAAATTGTGACTGAGAAGTAAAATGAAATCAGGGCCTTTTGTTGGATTATGTGTGAGCTTTTTAAGCTAAAATAAATTGCTCTAATAGGATGGCAATTAATTTCATTATGCTTGATTCTTTCACGGGGAGCTTAACTTGGCATAGCTCAATACCCCTTGTGTTATCTTGATGAAATTGTGCCGAAAATAATTTGTTAATGTTGAATTCACCCAACCTTACTAACTTACTAGTTAATACACAGAAGGCATTGTTTACGCATTATTCATCTTCAACAACGAAATTCAATGTATATGATATGCTGCTTCCTACCCTTCTACCAGAAAGCAACAAAATGAAAACATTCCGGGGATATTTATTAAAGTGGCTTTGAAACATGCCATATTGGAGTAAGCCTAGGCTTGAATTCCATGAATTCCAAGCAGCCTCACAGGCACCACCTAGCACTTTTAGTACGCTATTGCATGCTTATGATATTTGGGATTTTGAGCACATTTATTATCTTAATTTGCAGAGTTGCAGTTTCATTATTATTTTTTGTCACCTTGCCTTATAGTGTTCCTTAATTAAAAGAAGCACTTGAAGATTAATACAATACCGACGATAATGCATATTCTATTGATGGAAGTCTGTGCTTCTAGTGGAATTTTCTCATCCTTTGATCTGTCTTGTTTGAAAACATGGGGATCAATGGGCTTTAATTCACATTTCCCTTAATTTTTGGGCATAAATTTTGTTGTGCATTTTATCATGCATAATTATTCAAGGGACTGTGGTTAATGTAAAATTTCCCCATGATGGCTTTTAGATAGCTCTGACTTGGCCAATTTTGTAAGTGATATCTGGGAAAAAATGTTGATTAAATGTCAATATGTTATTTCTAATTCAATTCCCTTTTATTTCATTTAGTTTAGATACTTAAGGATCATCATGGGCAAGAGATATTTGGCTTGGGGAAGTTCTCTTTTGATAATCAATTTTATAATTGCATGGTGCTAAATCTTTTTCTTCTTCCTTCTTCTTTTTGTGAGATCAATCATGCTAAGTTTTCCCTCTTATATTATATCAGTTAAGAGAAGGGCCATGCAGATGTACTTAACAGTTAAAAAATGAATGCAAACTACAATCCTTATGGATTGCCGTTTCCACCTGCAGATAGAGTGTTTGGACCGTCCACAACGTCACAAGTAGTGTATGACGTCGCTGCACGACATGTAGTCAAGGGTGCTATGGAGGGTGTGAATGGTATGGTATCTATTTTGTTTGTATTTGCGTTCCAATTCTGTTAGCTTTGCACTATCTACATATTTATAAAATAAATAACTTGCAAATAATCTCAAATTGTAACCTAGTGTGATATTTGGCAGAGTGGCTTTCTTGTCATTTGATCTGAGATGAATTAAGCGACATATTAAAATTGATGTTTAGGTACTCAGTTTCTTCTAGTTGTCTAGCTGTCTTGTTAACTTCTAGATGGAGTGGCATGCTTAATATTTACAATTGATATTTAATATTTATGGAGGTTGTAACGATCGCATCCTAAATGATGAAGGCACTTAATAAGCACCCTTGCCTGCTTGATGGCCCTTAACATTAACTACACATACATACATTAGAACTTCTCTAGTAAATATTTGCCATTTGCTATGCCTACATTTACTATCTTTTGAAATATTACCTTTCTATTTAACAATTAGGTTTCTCTATCTATATACAAAAATTATTATTTCTTTTGACTGAGAATTTTGGTTGCTAGATTATCATTCATTCTTTATAGTTGCTTTTGTTGCTCAGGTTTGCATAGCTAACCGTGTAGTGACAAGAACATTGTCGCACTATTCTACAACATAATTCTGTATAACTGTATGTTGTGCATGTGCACCACTTATGTAATGGTTATTGTGGACTGATATTTATGCCATTGTTGCCTTCTTTGGGCTCATCTGTATGCTGGAAAAGAAAATGTTCGTATTCATGTGTTCTTTACCTTATATAAGTAAGTCAAGCTTGAAAATTTGTGATAATGTTCCCTAATTTTGGTGGTACAACAAGTGCTATAATGTCTCAGATATTCAATATAATGAATTGATTATGGGAATAGACATGTTGAGCTATCTAGTTATCTTGATAGGGGTTTCTAGTATGGGCTCATTTTGTTGCTTTCTCTAGTTGACCACTGTTAAGATTGAAAGAGAAGAGAGAGTAATATTCAAGTGCATTATAAAGCACATACAAATGTCTTTTTCACTCTTTAGAATCATGGGGGACCTTTAGATATACATAAATCCCTATGAAAGTTACAATATAGATTGGGCAACATGCATAGGAATCACAAGCCTTTTGCACAACTGTTACAGCATGAAATCACCCAAATATAGTAACTATTACAGCAGGAAATTCACTCAGATATGGTAGAATATTATACACATTATCAGCACATGCACATGCGAGTTTCCATAATGCACATGAGGCCCATGCAGGTTCCTTTACGGGGTTTGTGGCCCATTAAAGTTACTAAACTCCTCCTCAAGGTGGAGTATATATATATATATATATATATATTTATCATAGATGCTTTGATTGCCTAAAGTGTCCTTTAGTCGAACTCGGTTAGAGGCCTTAGTTAGTGTGTCTGCCAATTGATTCTTTGAGTGAACAAATGTGAGTGCATATAGTCTTTGAAGCAACCTTTTCTCTAACGAAGTGATAGTTGACCTCAATATGCTTAGGTATTTCTTGAAATATAGGATTTGAGCAATATGAATTGTTGCTTGATTATCACAATGTAGATAAATAGGAACTGATACATTAACACCCATTTCTCGACGAAGAGAACAGAGCCAAATTATTTCACATGTTGCACTTTCAACTGCTCAATACTCGGGTTTTGCTAAAGATTAAGCTACAATGCTTTACTTCTTACTCTCCAGATGACTAAATTACAAATCCACTTCCATAAAGTGGCCATTGGTAGATTGTTGATCAAGAGATCACTTGGCTCAATCTGCATTGAGAAACCTTGCACGTCAAGGTGACTGTGATTGGTATAAAGTAGCAGTCTCCCTAGAGCAATTTTTAAATATCATAAAATGCGATAAACGGCCTCCAAATGATACACGCATGGTGTGTGCATAAAATGACTTCCATGCTCACAACATATGCGATGTTTGGTTGTGTGACAATCTAATAAATATGTCTATCCACCAAGGTCTGATATACGGGTTACTTAGAAGCTCTCACTGTTGATCATACAAATTGTGATTAACCTCTATGGGAGATTTTGTTGGTTTAGCTCCAAGCATTTCTATTTCATTGAGGAGATCAGGTGTATTACTTCTTTTGAAACAAAACATTTCCTTGTTTTGATTTAGCCACCTATATTCTGAGGTACTATTTCAATGGACTAAGATCCTTGATGTTAAAAACAACCCCAAGAAATCTTTCATTATTTGAATCTTGTGATCATTATTCCGATGAGTTCTATATCATCCACATACACTATCAATAATATTAATATTGTGGTAGAACAAGAATCTCTTTACAAATACAGAATGATCATAAGCATTTCTCTGAAATATGAACTAACATATTGCCATACTAAATTTTTTGGATCAAGCCCGAGGTGATTGTTTTAGTGCATATATAGCTTTCCTCAACTTGCAGACCTTCCCTTTCTCCTCCTAAGCCCAAAACCCTGGTGGAAATTCCATATATACCGACTCTTGTAGACCTCCATGAAAGGCATTTTCTACATTGAATTGCTGGAGTAGCCATTTCTTGTTTATTGCAATGGAAAAAAGTAACCGTACTGATTTCAATTTTGCTACCGGAGAGAAATTCTCCTTATACTCAGCCCATATAATTGTGCAAACCCCTTCGCCACTAGATGAGCTCAATTGAACTATCTGGTTTGTGCTTCAGGGTATACAACTATAGACCCACTTCTATCCTGCCACATGTTCTTCTAGCTGGTCAATTACATCCCAAGTTCGCTGCTTCTCTAACGCAATCATTTCCTCAACCATATATGCTTTTCGCTGTGGATGAGCCATGCATGTTCAACTTTGGCGGGAATTGGAACAGAGGAAGTAGAGCAAAGGTATCGTGAATGGAAGGTAAAGCTGTAAAAGTGAAGCATAAGAGATAAACTTACTGATGAGATGAGAAGTGCAAATCCTTTTTCCTTTTTTTACGGCAGTATGTAAATTGTGTTGAGTAGTTATATGGGTCGAAGGAGAAGTACCTAATGAGTCAACTAGTTGGAAATATGATTATAAGGTGGAAGTACTCTTTTGATTACTGAAAATGTATGTACCATTGGAAGAGGAATAAGATTGTAGGGTGGCATAGTGCATATCAAATCTCTTTGGGAAGAAAAATAGGATATATTGTCAAAAAGGTAACATCCTTTGTGAAATAATTCCTTTTAGTTTTCGGATAGTAACACTTGTAGTCTTTCTGAGAGTTCGAGTAGCCTAGGAACATCAGATTTAGTAGATTGCGACCCTAATTTATTCCTGGCTGGCCCCAAGGTAATGCACAAAGCAGACACAACTAATGGTTTTTGGTGGAAGAGAAAAGAAAGTAAGTGCATGATGAAGAAGTTTGAAAGGTTACACACCATGTAGAAAAGTGTAGACGTTCTATTGATCATTAGGCTGCAGTAAGAATTACTTCATCCCAATATTTCTTAGGAATCTTCATTCCTATTAAAATGCCTCTCACCACTTCTAACAAGATTCTACTTTTCCGTTCTGCTACACCATTCTGTTGTGGTGTATAAGAACATGATATTTGAGTTTCTATACCATGTTCAAGAAAATAATTCTTTAGGCATTGTATAGGTGCTCGTATGCATTATTAGAACAAAATTTTTATATTTGGGTCTCAAACTGGGTTTGAACTAGTTTATGAAATATTTTAACTATTGGAGGTACTTCATCTTTAATTTTCATAAGATAGATCCAAGTATAACGAGAGTACTCATTGATGAATGAGATAATATAATGATATCCAAAAACACAAATAACTGGATCAGACCCCCATGCATGAGAATGAACAAGATTGAATCGCTTAGAACTTCTATTTCACTAGAAGAAAAAGAGGATCTAAAATGTCTAGGCAATTGACAGGTCTCGCGTTGTAACTGAGGAGCATCCAAAGAAACAAACTTATCTGCGAACAATAATTTTAAAGATTTAAGATACATGTGGCCTAAGCGTGTGTGCCATAAGTGTACTTGCTCACTGTTAAAAGTCTTTTATCATTTTTGATCCAGGACCAAAGTGTTTTGTTTGGGCAGTTTTGTCGTTTCATATTTTTAATAATGTATTAGTTTGAGATGTGCGTGAGGTGAAAGGAGAACTCATGGCACTTCCTTCCCTTTCTCCCATCTCTCATATCGCTCTCTTCTCTCTCCTCTTCTTTCTCTTTTGTCTTCTTTTCTCTCTCTAGGTTTTCTGACTTGGTACGAAACAGATTTGAACTGATCTTCTCATCTTCCCCTTTGTTTTCATCTTCCCTTTTCCTTTCACCTTCCCCTTTCCTTTCAAACAGGAAAAAGTAATAAAGGAAAACCTAACCCCCATTGTTGCTGATCTCGTCAAGGGGTACCTAGTTTTCCTTTTTTTTTTGTGTGTGCAGGGCCAATATGCCGGCCTGCAGGTTCTGTGGATGTTTGTGTCACTGAAGTGTCATCTCTTGGATGTGAAGAGCCGGGAGGAGTAGTTGCTGAAATGTCTTGAAGTGTGGGGCTGAAGTTGTAGTAGGCCTGTTGGGGTTCATTTGTTTGTTCTAGCATAGAGAAGAGAACTTTGTTCATTGATACCTAAATAACAAGTATCTTTATCCTTTTGAGGGGTTCCTAACATTGTAATGGACTTGTGTGAGTGACTGAAATTTGCCGATCTTGGTTGTCCTTTTTCTCCTTTATCTTGTATGCTCAAGGATAAGGAAATTAAACCTGGAATCGTCCTTAGTCTTTCTAACATTGTTGGGATGCAAATTGCCTTGGTAAAATTAAACGAGTTCAATTATGTTATATGGGCTCAATCTGTTAAAGTATCCCTTGGTGTTAGCGGGAAACTGAAATACTTGATTTAGAACAAGCTTAGTAAATATGACAAGATATGAAAAGTTGATGAGGGAGAATCACAAAATCATTACCTGGTTGTGGAGTAGTATGAAACCCCAAATAAGTGCCATTGTGATGTTTTTTGATACAACTAAAGAAATTTGGGGCACCT